ATGGATAGATAGGTAGATAGATAGAGATAGATAGATAGATAGATAGATAGAGATAATTTGATAGATAGATAGATAATTTGATAAATAGATGGATAGATGGATAACTTGATAAATAGATGGATAGATGGATAGAGAGAGATAATTTGATAGATGGATAGATAGATAGATGGATGGGTAGATAGATAGATAGATAGATAGATAGATAGATAGATAGATAGATAATTTGATAGATAGATGGATAGAGAGAGAGAAAAAAAAATTTGATAGATAGATGGATAAATGGATAGAAGGATAGATAGATAATTTGATAAATAGATGGATTAATGGTTAGATAGATAGAGATGGATGGATGGATGGATGGATGGATGGTTGGATGGATGGATGGGCAGACTTTAAAGATAGACAGATAAGATAGTACAGGGGCACAAAAGTGTTACAGTCTGGCTTTTTAGCAGCTGCATAAAGGGTATTTTTCCAAGCAGAACTCTTACAAGAGAGCTCTTCAACAACACTCATTGAGATGCAAGGGGCATCTCTAGAAGTACAAGAACTGCAACATGCAAATTACAGCTATTTTTTTTTTAACCAATTTAAAAGGATTACAGGGTCCCCCAAAAAAGGAGAGTCATGTAACAAACTGAGCAACTGCAGCGACCGACTTAACAACTACGGCAGTGTTTCTCAACCATGGCAACTTTAAGATGGGTGGACTTCAACTCCCAGAATTCCTCAGTCAGATTTGCTGGGAGTTGAAGTCCACCCATCTTAAAACTGCCACAGTTCAGAAACACTGGCAAAGGACATAAAATAGGAGCAAAGTCACTTAACAACTGTTTTGCTTGGCAACAGAAATTTTGGGCTCAATTATGGTTACGAATGAAGGCAAGTATAAATATATCCTGTATCCCAGGATAATGTTGCCAGATCCAATCTGTTTTTTTTTTTTAATTTGATTTATATGCCGTCCTTCTCCGGAGACTCAGGGCAGCTTACAGTGCGTTAAGCAATAGCCTTCATACTTTTGTATATTTATACAAAGTCAGCTTATTGCCCCCACAAACTGGGTCCTCAATTTACCTACCTTAGAAAGGATGGAAGGCTGAGCCTGGCGAGATTTGATCTTACTTTAATTGCAGACAGCTGGTGTTAAATTACAGTGCTCTGTCTGTTGAGCTATCCAGACTCCTCAGTGGTTTGGTCAGTGGTACAAGAGATTTTGTCTTCCAAGCTTTTGGACTTGTGCTGGAGCCCATCCTGAGGGAATTTCACTCCAGCAGAGCGGTATTTATAGTGCCTGTTGTATGTTGCTTTCCAATTAACATCTAAAAAAACCAACCACATATAACAGACACTATAAATACCACACAGAGAACAGCACAAACTCTGCCAGAGAGAAGTTCCTTGAAGATGAGCTTCAGCAGAAATCCGAAGACTCGGAAAACAAAACCTCTGGTCCTGCTGACTGACCCAGATTGGACCCTCAAATTAAGGACTGTTTATATACTGTATATCCTGTGTGGGATTTTTACATATACTAACCACCAGGAGGCAGTACATGACAAGAGTCATTGGTTTTGGAAATTGTCAGGTATACTATCTGGCATTCTGGTGGGGAATTCTGGGAGCTGAAGTCCACACATACGTCACAAAGAAGAGAAAGTCAACTATTCTCCAAAGCCCCTGAGGGCAGGACAAGAAGCAATAGGTGGAAAATAATCAAGGAGAGAAGCAACCTAGAACTAAGGAGAAATTTTCTGCCAGTGAGAACAATTAATCAGTGGAACAACTTGCCATCAGAAGTTGTAAATACTCCAACACTGGAAGTTTTTAAGAAGAGATTGGACAGCCATTTTCTGAAATGGTATAAGGTCTCCTGCCTGAGAAGGGGTTGGACTAGAAGACCTCCAAGGTCCCTTCCAAGGTCCCTTCTCCAAGATCCATTCTGATATTCTGTTAACCTATTGAGATCAACAATTGGAATACATGTAATCTTTGAATTATGTCATCATCTTCTTTTAATAATCCCATAATCCCTTGCGGGGTGGAGTCTGGGCAACTGAATGGAGCTAGCAAAGTGTTTTAATGGCCAGATGCCCTTCCTGTCACCAATGCAGAGTTTTGTTCAGCCAGGGTGGATAAAAATCAATGATTTTTTTAAAAAAATCAAAAAAATCAGATTTTTTAAATTTAAATCGGATTTTTTAAATTTAAATCAGATTTTTTGATTTTTATTGAATTTATTTTAATAAAAAACTTTTGGGGTAAAAATCTATTGTAAGATAGTTTTCTATTTCAGATACATAAATAATTTAGTTTATTCAGCATGAAATGGAGCTTAGTTATTTAGCATGAGGCTGTATATTCTGCAACACTGGGACTATCGGTGAGTCAACAACGGGTCAAAGGAGTAGCAGAGATGACAGTTGCTCTTTAAAAAATATGATTTAAATCGAGTTGATTTAAATCAAGCCTTTTTACTAGTGATTTAAATCATGATTTAAATCATGATTTAAATCGACTCGATTTAAATCAAATCCACCCTGTGTTCAGCAGATATATTCTCAGTGTGCCCAGAGAGATAAATGTGTGCCTCTACCTAGGATCGAACTCACAGCCTCCTGATAGTGAGGCGAGAGCTCCATCTCTAGGCCACCGCACCACTCCAGTCTTTGATTTATTTGATCATTCTGAATTCTGATGGACCTACCTGGGAGGGCTACTTATCACCCAAATTTGACCTTCCTGTCATGGTCACATGACTGCACGTAAGCCAATCAACAACCAGGCCACATTTACAACCATCTGCAGTGTCCCATAGTCATGTGACTATACTTTATGACTTTTTTGCTAAAAACTAACATCATTTACTTTGGTTCAACTAATGATTTCACAGATTTAATGAATATAGTAACTCACTTAACAACTGCCATAGACATGATTGTAAAATCTGGTCAGTCACATGGCTGACCCGTTTTATGACTTTCAAGAGTTATGATTATGATGGGCAGGTTCCATTACAGTCATAACTAGAGGACTTATAGTTGATGTGATGAAGGATGGAAGCTGCTTCCTTATTTCTTTGTGCTTTTTTTTCCCTGTACCTTAACTTTTTTTCCACTTCAACTTTGGTTTACAAGTTTTACTGTGTTTATTAAAAACCTCAATAAGATTATAAAAAAGAAGGCCTATTATTTAAATCCACTTCCTGTTAAGTCCCTTGCTGTACAAAGATTTCTCTAGCCCTTTTCGCCAAACTCTCGCCTGTAATATTGCAGGTAATCCTCGACTTACCACCATAATTGAGGCCAAAATTTCTGTTTTTAAGTGAGACATTTGTTAAATGAGTTTTGCTCCATTTTATGACCTTTCTTGACACAGTTGTTAAGTGAATCACTGCTGCTGATAAGTTAGTAACTCAGTTAAGTGAATCTGGCTTCTGCATTGACTTTGCTTATCAGAAGGTCGCAAAAGGTGATCACATGACCTTGGGAACTTGGGGTGACCTTTTGCACAGAAATGCTCACCGCAATGGTCGTAAGTATGAACCAGCTGCCAAGCATCTGAATTTTGATCACATGATCATGGAGACGCTACAAGGGTCGTAACTGTGAAAAATGGCAATAAGTCACTTTTTTTCAGTGCTGTTGTAACTTTGAATGATTTCTAAACGAACTGTTGTAAGTCGAGGACTACCTGAACTAGAAAACAAGAGTTCACAGATCTTTTGATCTAGAGAAACACCCATCTTTAACACCCAGTTGTGCTTTTCATTTCAAATAAAGCTAGTGGACCAATTGGTCCCATCCCCTCTCAAAAGTGCTCTGCAAAAGTGAAAATGTGGGGCTGAACGGTAGCTCTGCTTTCCAACACAACGAAACTCTTTAAAAGGTTAAATAAAGATAACTTAAAGATAAAAAGTGACTGGTAAAACAGGGAAGGAAGGAAGGAAGAAAGGAAGGACCCAGTGGGAAAGGGAAGGGAAGGGTAGAGAAAAAGAAAAAAAGGATGGATGGATGGAAGAAGGGGCAGAGAGAGAAAAAAAGAAAAAGAAAAAGAGAGAGAAAGAGAGAAGAAAAGAAAGAGAAAGAAAAAAGGAGAAAGAGAAAGAGAGAAAAGAAAAGAAAGAAAAAGAGCAAAAGAGAGAGAAGAAAAGAAAGAAAAAGAGAGTGACAGAAAGAGAGAAAAGAAAAAAGAAAAGAAAAAAAAGAAAAGAGAGAAAGAGAAAAGAAAGAAAAAGAGAAAGTAAGAGAAAGAATAAGAGCCTTGGTAGTACAGTGGTCTAAAGCACCCTGTTATTAAGACCAGCTGCCTGCAATTACTGCAGGTTCGAATCTCGCCAGGCTCAAGGTTGACTCAGCCTTCCATCCTTTCTAAGGTAGGTAAATTGACGACCCATTTTGTGGGGGCAATAAGCTGACTTTGTATAAAAATATACAAAAGTATGAAGGCTATCGCTTAACGCATTGTAAGCCGCCCTGAGTCTCCTGAGAAGGGCCGCATATAAATCAAATTTTAAAAAAAGAATAAAAGAAAGAAAGAAGAGACAGAAAGAGAGAGAGAGAGAGAGAGAAAAAAGAAAGAGAGAAAAGGAAAAGAAAGAAAAGAGAGAGAAAGAGAAAACAAAAGAGAGAAAGAAAGAGAAAGAAAAAAGGGAAAAGAAAAAAGAGAAAGAAAGAGAAAGAAAGAAAAAGAGAGAAAGAAAACAAAGAGAAACAAAAGAAGAAAAGAAAAGGTTTTCGGGGATCTAGAAAAACACAGCATCGAAATAGATCGCTTCCCATTCAACCTCCTATGTCCAAAGTCTCCTTCATGTCGCCGGTATAAGAAGCTACCATGCTGAGCGAGGATTATGGTTCCTTCCCCCACGCCAATGTGCATCCAGAGTTTGCATCACCTTTGTCCGAAGACGCAGGCATCGGAGGCATCGCACCAGCCCCCTCTTCCCCCCTACCATCCCCAAACCACGGCGGATACAACCCCCCACCCCACCCCACGCTCACCATTGTAGGCCGAAGATGATGAGCTGCTGAGTTCCATGGTCGGTCGGCGTGCAAGAAAAACCACAATGTGGAAGAGGCGTTGCGCTGTTCAGGTTTTCCCGGACTGCTGCTCTTTCGGTCACTCCCTGCAGAGAAAGGGTGGAAGAGAACGGCTTGCCTTGTCCGGCGACTCCGAAGTCATTTGCAGCTTTCTCTGAGCAGCGCCCGGGATCAGAAGAGAGAAAAAGCCTTTTGGGAAGACAGCCAGCTGGGCGTGTTTTTTTCGTCCGTGCGCGCTTGTATGTGTGTGTGTGAATTTGTTCTGCTTCGGCCAAGCTGGGAGGACCGCCCTCTCAAACTGGCTTGGCAATCCCATCTCCAAAGAAGCCACAGGGAGTAGGAGAGAGAGAGAGAGAGAGAGAGAGAGAAAATCGAGACCCCACCCTGCTGTTTTGTAACTGCCCCAACTCTTCACAAGTTGGCAAAAAGTATTTAAAGATTGCAGGGCGGGCCGCGGACAAACACGTGTCGAAGCGCAACATTCCGCAGGAAAAAAGAAGATTGCAAGCGCAGGTCTCTTCTCCGGATCGAAGAAAACTTTTAAGGCTTGGCCATCTAACTCTTCTTTGGAAGCTTTTCTTTTCTTTTTATTTTCTTCCCCCGATTCCTTAGGCTGGAATAAAAATAAAGGGATACGGTTAACATCACCGAGCTTTTAATAGTAGAGATTTCTGTTTAAAAAGAAATGATTCGGTGAACTTGGTTCCCTACAGTGAATGGGTGAAATATATGTCATGACAATTGTAATTCCCTGTGTATTTATTGGTATTTGTTTCAGTGTTTAATTAATTTAGCAACTATAAAATGTGTGGATTAACTCCCAGAATTCCCCAACCAGCACAAGGAATTCTGGGAGTAGAAGTCCACACTTCTTAAATCTGCTAACTTGGAGAAACTGTTATTCTTTTTTTCTTTTTTCTTTCTTTCTCTCTTTCTCTTTCTCTCTTTCATTCTCTCTTCTCTCTCTTTTTTCCTCTTCCTTTCTTTCTCATTCTTTCCTTTCTTTTTTCTTTTCTTCTATATCTCGCTTTCATTCATTCATTCATTCTCTCTTCCCTCTCTTTTTTCTCTTCCTTTCTTTCCCATTCTCTCCTTTCTTTTTCTTTTCTTCTTTCTCTTCTTTCTTTCTAATTACTTTTTCCTTTCTTCCTGAATTACTTGTGCTGTTTCTTTCAAATGTTTCTAATAAATAAATTCATTTTTTTAAAAAAGTCACTTTCTGAAGAAACGTCACTGACTTTCCCTACGATAAAAAAAAGTGGCAGCTGATTCATTTGAACAAATGCTTCTTGTTTGGTTGAATATATTACGTGAGTCCACTTAATTAATTTAGTTAGCTATGGGTTAGTTAACATATGATTTAGCATGTTCGGTTGACATATCTACTCTCCAATTTTGACTCTGATCAACAGCCTGGCAGCTTTCAGGGAAGAATCAAGGTTAAAGTTTCTAAAAGTTTGAAATATGTCCTATTTGGGGGGAGGGATCACCCCCCCCTTTTGCTCTAAAACTTGGCTGATGAAACCAGCTTTCTCTCCCTTGCCCCAATTGAATTTCCAGTGTGCCATTGATAAAAATAGACGCATACAGCCAGAAAACCAAACAAAGTAGCTATTCTAATCAGAAAGAGAAGTAAAACTTTAAATGCATGTTCTAATTTGAGTTACGACACATCAAAAGCTGGATAATTTTTATATAGGGCACAAAACGATTTGTGGTCTTCAGCTTTGTAATTTTGAAACATAGAATTTGGAGAGGCCTCCCAAGATTAGAAAATCAGAGCACGATGTGACTTTTTAGTTACTTCTCTTCTGCCAACTCTACAGAAGAGAACAGTCTAAAAAAACAAAACAAAAAAACTAAATTCCTAGTGAGTGCCAAAGATCATTGGATTAATTAATTAATTTCATTTCATTTCATTTCAATTTCAATTTGTTTCAATTTGTATACCGTCCTTCTCCAATAGGACTCATTTATTTCATTTATTAAATTTTTATACCACCCCTCTCCCGAAGGACTCGGGGCGGTGAACAGCCAGGATTAAAAAAACATACAATATAAACATTAAAATACTTTAAAACATAATTAAATCTATATTGGCTTCCCCCAATTTAAAACCCCTTACCCATAAAATTAACCAATTAAAAAATTTTAAGCCAGCCCGGCTTGCTGAAATAAAAAAGTCTTCAGAGCCCGGCGAAAGGTCCGGAGGTCCAGGATCAGTCGTATCCCTGGGGGTAGCTCATTCCAGAGGGTGGGTGCCCCCACAGAGAAGGCTCTTCCCCTGGGAAGTCACCAGCCGACATTGCCTGACCAACGGCACCCTGAGGAGACCCTCTCTGTGGGAGCGTATAGGCCGCTGGGAGGTTATCAGTGGCAGAAGGTGGTCTCGTAAATAACCGGGCCCTAAGCCATGGAGCGCTTTGAAGATGAGAACCAATACCTTGAAGTACACCTGGAAGACCACCGGAAGCCAATGCAGCTCACGCAGGAGAGGTGTTACATGGGAGCGCCATGTCGCCCCCATAAGTACCCGCGCGGCTGCATTCTGCACCAGCTGGACCCTCCAGGTGCTCCTCAAGGGGAGCCCCATGTAGAGAGCATTGCAGTAGTCCAGGTGGGAAGTGACGAGGGCATGAGTGACCGTGCATAAGGAGTCCCGATCCAGAAAGGGGCGCAACTGGCGTATCAGGCGAACCTGATAGAAAGCCCCCCTGGCCACGGCCGTCATATGCTCTTCTAAAGACAGCCGTGCATCCAGGAGGACACCCAAGTTACGCGCCCTTTCTGTGGGGGCCAATGTCTCGCCCCCAATAGTCAGCGATGGTGTCAACTGACTATATCGGGACCCGGCAACCACAGCCACTCAGCCTTGGAGGGGTTGAGTCGGAGCCTGTTCCTCCCCATCCAGACCCGCACGGCCTCCAGGCACCGAGACATCACTTCAAGGGCATCATTGGGGTGGTCTGGGGGGGAGATGTACAGCTGAGTGTTGTCAGCGTACAGATGACACTGCACCCCAAAACCATGGATGATCTCACCCAGCGGCTTCACATAAATGTTGAACAGGAGAGGCGAGAGGACCGACCCTTGCGGCACCCCACAAACCAGGTGCCTTAAGGTCGACCTCTGCCCCCCAGCCAACACGGACTGTGACCGGTCGGAGAGATAGAAGGAGAACCACCGTAAAACAGTGCCTCCCACTCCCAGCCCCTCCAGCCAGTGCAGCATGATATCATGGTCAATGGTATCAAAAGCCGCTGAGAGGTCTAATAGGACCAGAACAGAGGAGCAATCCCTGCCCGAGCCCTCCAGAGATCAACCAACGCCACCAATGCCGTTTCTGTGCTGTACCCGGGCCTGAAGCTGGACTGGAACGGATCTAGATAGACGGTTTCATCCAGGTACTGCGGGAGCTGTCGCGCCACCATACTCTCAACAACCTGGTTGTTGACAGAATTACTGCTAAGTTTAATATATATTTCACTGTAACATATTTAACTGTTTATTGTGGTTTACTGGATTAGCCACAACTGACTGGTTTTTTTAGATGTTCGAGCAAACAATGGAACGATCAAATGAAATTGCAAAGAATCCCATATTCTAGGGGTGTCAAACTCGAGGCCCACGGGGTGCTTAGATCTGGCCTGCGGGGCCACCTTGGAAACCGCAATGGATCAGCCCGCGGTGTCTCTGCGCACTGCCACCCGGGCTCCATTTTTGCTGGTAGACTTACCTTTGCGAGCAGTGGTGAGCAGAAGTACGCAACGGATAGATTCTGCAAGGGGGGGGGGGGGGGGGGGGGTGAGTGTGGCCAGCCAGAATTTCTACTACCGATTCGCCCGAACCGGCCAGGACCAGCTGAATCCTACCACTGTGGTAGAGGGCTAGGAAAACAAAACAAAAAGAGAAATGTTTCCTCTTTTGCATTTGAGCATGCAAGAAGGGACAGGAAAGGAGAAAGGGAAAGAGGAAAGACAAAGAAAAAGAAGGGAATGTGGGAAGAGAGCAAAGAAGGAAGGAAGGAAGGAAGGAAGGAAGGAAGGAAGGAAGGAAGGAAGGAAGGAAGGAAGGAAAAGGAAGGAAGGAAGATTATAATGAGAGTGAGGGAGCGTCTGAAGGAAAGTCCTGCCTTAGCACTTGGCCACCACAGATGCCCCCAACACAAGTGATGTTCAGCTGGCCACACCCACTCTAGCCACACCCATCTCGGCCATGGTCACCCAGGCTCTCCAAGGTCAAACACAACCCTGATGTGGCCCTCAATGAAATTGAGTTTGACACCCCTGCCATACACAAAGCCAATCACTTCCTTCTAATATTGTTAGTACAAAATTAAAGATCCATATATTATTCTAGTACAGCTAGTCCTCAATTTACAACAATTCATTTAGTGACTGTTTAAAGTTACATGACCATTTTTCACACGGATGACCATTGCAGCATCTCCGTGGCCACGTGATTTATATTCAGATACTTGACAACTGGTTCATATTTATGAACATTGCAGGGTCTTTGAAACAGGTATACTTCAGGGGTGGGTTCTACTTACCTTTACTATCGGTTTGCAATGGGGCCGTGCGCGCAAGCACAGAAACTTCTGTGCATGCACAGAAGCGTTCTGATGACGTCAGGGTTGGTGGGCGGAGCCTCCCATTGGTTTTACTACGGGTTCTATAGAACCTGTGCGAACTGGGGCAACCCACCACTGTTATACTTGGCTCAGCTGTGATATTCTTGAAAAGCAAAAGGTTTTTATTGTGTTTTATTTTAAATTAAGGTTTTCTTCCTAGCTGCTCAAACTATATACTTAAGGAACCAATACACCACCCCCAAAAATCACCTACATCCAAAGAGAGAAAAATAAAATTAAAAAATACAATTTTTTTTTAAATTTTATCAATAACCCAAGACATTTCCAGATTGTTTCCCATTTTAATCAAGCATAAAAAGAAAGTGGAAAATAATCGTGTTATTCTCCTCTCCTCTCCCTCTGAAAGAAATTGGGGGAAGGCTTACTTTGAATATGCGCCAGTTCGAGTCCCTGGAATATCCAAGTGGAAAGTATAAATTCACACAGATGAAAAAGACATGGAGAGACACTTGACAACTGGCAGGTATATATGATGGTTGCATGTTCCGGGCTCATGTGATCCCATTTTGCGACCTTCTGACAAGTGAAATCAATGGGGACAGCAGATTCCATTTAACAACCGTGTTACTAGCTGAACATCTGCAGTGATTCTCTTAATATCTGTGGCAAGAAAGGTCCTAAAATGGGGCAACACTCACTTAAATGTTTCACTTAACA